GTGTTAATAACTTCCAACATACAACTCCCCTTATTCATTTCACGAGAGATCCACGCGACGAGAGTCTACCGTATACCAGAGATAAGTCTTGTATATAAGTTTGCGGTAGGTCGTTGCTTTTAACTTCCAGCAGTTCTGTATAAAGACGGCACGTAGGTGTGTCGCTTCACGCGAGATGAAAGTCCCTTTTTTGCCTTTTTCCATCAGCAAGAGCTACCTTCCACTATCAATTCTCGTCGCACGGTCAATCGGCTTCCGCGCCGAAAATCACTCGAATTTAGAAGCCCTCTAATTAGCCTGTTAATTGCTTCGCTCCAATAGCATCTCAGCTGCCTTAATGATATCCGCCTCGCCGTTTTAATCAGCCACTGCAGCTCGCTGAAACCGGTACCACCGGTACTTTGGCGAGTTCATATTTCGCCGATGTAAACATATAAACGCGCAAATTGACTTGAACGATTATTTTCGCAATAATGCAAATGTGAGAATCGACGCGACGTTCAATCGTGTTTGCGAGATTGAAATTTATCTCGCGAGGTAAACAATGAAATATTCGGGAAACTTTTTGACATTTGACTCTGTCAACTTTTTTTTCGCATTAAGGATTTAACGCATAATTTCTTTTTTCACTTTTTCTTTACAATTTTTCGTTAAAATTTAAATATCATTTTTTTAAAGAAAAAAATGAAAAAAAATTATGCGTTAATTTTGTCCACGAGTATATTTTAATTAGTTTCGCGCGCAAAGAGTTTACACATCCAAATTTTATTTCTCTTTCGCAAAAATATAGAATTGACAGCAGAAGATGGTTAAGGATGTTTTGTATGTACCCAACAAATCTCAGCAAAAAGTAGCTGAAAATCAATATTGACGAATATATATCCACTTTTGGTGTATTTTGAGTATGAGAAATTGCGTGGAATATTAGAATTTGATCTTAGCTATAGCGCAGAAATGTATTTTTTAATATATATATATATATATATTATTAATATATATAATATATATAATATATTATAATATATATATAATATATATATATTATATATAATATATATATATATATATATTATATAATATATATATATATATTATATATAATATATATATATATATATATATATAATATATTATAATATATATATAATATATATAATATTATTTAATATAAATATTTATTGTGTTTTTATTGAAATATTCCGAATTTTTGTTAATCGAAATGATTAATTTTTGGCAGAGAATTTCGCCTTGTGACAGATACATGCTAACTTCATTAAATTATATTTAATATCTTTTTAACCAGTTAGTACTCGTATAATATTATTTGATCAAATATTTCCTCTGTATCTAAACTTTTGCAAATTTTAACAAATTCTGAATATTATTTCCATGTGTTTTTGTCATTTGAATCGACGTGGTTATATATTTCCCATAAGAATACATGTTAATTCGGTGCAAATTAAAATCCTTATAACTTGTGAACACTTTAGTGAATCGATTTAAAAATTGTACACAGAAAAAAAATAAATGTCAAATCAAAACTTATACTTAAATTAATGCGTTCCTTGTTTCATATATATATACGCGACAATTTATAATCTTCTTAGAAGAATTTAATAATTTCAAATTTCAACAATATTACAGTCTTATTTTAATATTATAATTGTCATCTCAAGAATATAATTATTTAATTCTACTTTAAGAAAATTATAATCTTTGATTTAAAAATGTTATTTTTTATCTAACATTGTTTCTTTTCGATTCAAGAAAATTAAATCTTAAATCGTAAGAATATATTTTTCTTGAATGAATTATATAAAATGTCTTCATTCAAGTAAGCAATAATTCAAGCAATTATATTTTTCTTTAATTAACGCAATATAATCTCATTTCAAGATTTCCATGTTAAAACTAAATATATTTTCGAAATAAGAATACTCTTTTTTTCTGTGTACTGAAGATTCTAAACATATGTAAGGACATTATGTACAATTTTCATGAAATTCTTAATATTTTGAAAATAGATACAAAATCATCCTTAAAATGCGACCTATTAACGTCGAACGTGTGCACGTGCCATTTTCTCACGGGCAGCATCGATTCTGCGCGTTATTATTTGCCGTCCAATATACGTGCGAGCGCGGAAGGGATATTTTTAACGCTTATACAGATACTTTATCTCATTATAATTCGCCCACGCTTCAGCAGAGAGCGGCTGCGTTAGTTGCCGTAACGATCTCGGCGGCGGTGAAGGCGAACTCCTCTTCCTCATCCGCTTCCTCGTCGTCTTGTTCGTGTTCGCATCCTCCTCGCTCGCGAATTTTTATATTCGCCCTTTGGATTACATTTCTGCCGTATATTTCTCGTCCGCTATTTTTTTCCCCGCGCACACACACCCACTTGTTTTCGTCACGATTGTCCTTTTCCCGCGCGTCGAGATTTATATCCCTATCCCTCGCTCGAAGAGGGAGACCCTCGAGCGTTATTTGTTTATAATAATTATTTGCACGCTCTTGTCTCGTCGGTAATTTCCTCCTCGAGTTTAAAATACGATAACTCGCTATTAGCGGAATTAATGTTATTATGTATGTTTGTGAAGCGCGAGAAAGAGAGGCGCGAGCATCCTAAGCATCCTTTTCACGCGACTCGAGATCCGAGCGCAATTGGTGGGCTCTTGGAGGAGCGAGACGGTTCATTTGCATGTCTATAAGTGGCATACGTGAATATGTACATGAATACATACATGAACGCGTTGGCTACTTACGTAAATTCGTGTCGTCGACCTCGCGTGACTTCTCGTAGCCCAGTGTTTCATCCTTCTTTTTTTTTTCTCTTCCTTCAAGCGTCTTCAATAACGCCGTCGTCGCGTTGCATTCAAGAACTCGTGGAACGAGCGATCTTAAGTACCAATCGCTTCTGTAATAAATTTCAAAGTCGAGGAATATCCAAATTTGACGCGTTCGACAATTTTGGGTCTTTTTCCTTGGATGTAGTTTGGATAAAATTGTTTAATTTATTATGAAAAAAATAGATGCGATTTCTCAGGATCTACTTCCTGGAAAAACTGGAATTTTCAAGGATTTTTTGCATCTGGAAGAATTAGAAAATTTTATTAAAACTCGGGGAATTTAAAAAAAAATCTCTTTGATAATTTTATTTTCTTTTGTATCGTAAAGCCAAGTGAATTATGTGTTTAAAATATATTATAAATATATGTATCTATCTCTGTTTATATACTTAATATTTTAGCGAAATGTAAATGTGCATTCTTCTTTATTGTAATTTTTATTGATAAAAAATAATAATGCTTAACGAAAATTATTAATTTTTTCCAGTACATTATAAATATGGTACTCGAAACTTACTCTCTTTTTTCTTTACATGAGAAAAAAATTAGAGCTTCAATACAAGCCGTAAAAAAATTTACCTGAGAAAATTGCATAAAAAAATGTCTAAAATATTCTCTTTATTTAAAATCTTGATCAAAATACCTGGAAGATATTAGAGAATTTTTTTACGTGATTTGAGTAGACACACCCTATTGCTATAAATGCCATAAATTTGACGCGCGAAATCCAGCGGCGTCGCACACGCGACTAATAACGTTCTCAGAGTCGTAGATTAATCGAAGAGCGAACTAAAAGGCGCATCGCGATTCAACTATCGACGCGCCGCAGGTGATATACTCCGGCTTCGAGGCGGGAAATAAAGACGTTCGTTCGCGAGGAGGCTACCCGCTGCTAAAGGAATCGATAAATCCGCCGCGGCGATATCGATACTGATGGTTACCATGTTTTATCGCCCTGCGGATACGCGATCGCCCAGTCCCCGATTATGAATTCTCGTCCTGCTCGTCCCAGCGGGACGACCGACTTTCCAAGATGCGCCTCTTATCGTTCGAGGTAGGGCTGCACGAAATACCAAGATTAGTCTTGATATTGTCTTGTCTTGTCTTGAATTTCAAGACAACATTAAGACAAGATTTTTAATTATCAAGACAATACCAAGACTAATTGTAAGACTGTCAAGATTATTAGTCTTGTCAAGATTATTGGTTCTCAAAAAAACTAAAATATTTATATTTGTAAATGAAAAAAATCACTATATACGAATTTAAAAAAATTGTATTCAATAAAAACATTTATATTAATAAATTTAAAAACATATTAATACATATTTTCATATTAATACAATATAACATTTTTATAAATTAGAAATCAAACTCGCAAATTTTAGATATTAAAGAGCATTTCACCTAGGAATTGATGCACATTAGTGCTTTTAAAGATTTACTAATCTGATTCTATTTTTTGACATAGAGTTCTTATTGAGAAAAGTCTTTCTACTGGCACGGACGAGGCAGTTGAACTTAAAATGTCTCTAGCCATTTTTGACAATGTGTGATAAATATGAACCTGATTTTTTTACCACTCTAAAATATTTATATCTGCATTCCCTTGGAGCCTGTAAATAGTTATTAATTTCTGTTTTCCATGAAACAGTAAATGTTTTTTTATGTAAATAGACGGTATTTATATCGATTATATAGTAATAATTATAATTAAAATATAATACAATAGTAATAATTATTTCAAATTATATTACAAAAATTATGTTAAATATTATTTACATAATTTTTTAATATTAGATAAAAAATTGTTAATAAAATCGAGACAAGACAACACAAGACGAGATTTTTGCTACTAATATTCACTCAAGACCAAGATAAGATTTAAATTTTTGAAAATTTTCAATACCAATACAATATTTTTACGAATATTGTTTTGTCTTGGGTCTTGTGCAACCCTAGTTCGAGGAGATTTTTTGCGATCTCAGAGCCTGGAAGAACTCTTTCCTCCTCCCTTTCCTCAATTTGATCAATATTTCGCGAATATTTCTTTTAGCAAATTCTTTAAAAAATTTTAATTTTTACGTGCGTTTATCATTCTTAATTTTGTAATTTTGTGATCTCTAATTTATACTTTTGTAATCTCTTTCAGAAATCGAGGCGCAAGAAGCTTGCAAATGGCTGAGGGCGGCCGGATTTCCGCAGTACGCGCAAATGTACGAAGGTGAGTGTCTTTTTCTCGATAAAATCAGTCTCGAGGAAATAATGAGCAATTTCTACTCGCTATCTGAGATGCAGATGGAAATCCTTTTAAATTAGTCCGAGATTGTTGTACACTAAATATTTATCGCACAAACTGAAAGGAAGTAATTTTAGATGAAATCTAAATCGGTTGGAAAGCCCGAGGACTTAGATGTTCTGGAGATAACAAAAGCTTAAGTGGAATATGGGATGACCTTTCTTTCAAAGTTCCTAATTTACTCTCTCGAGGGAGAGATAAACTGCCTAAACCCTCGAAAAATTCTGAATTATCTTGCTCGAAACTGCGCAGCAGCCAACAATAGCAGCACAACAATAAATAAATCCCGGCGAACGACGTTATCCTTATTATTGTGAGATTATTATCGATTCAATTTTCACGATATTTCCCGGGGGATTATGTGTATTATCTCACGTGGGCGTTTCGTTTTAGTCCTGAGGCGATTGCACGCATGTTTGAAAGGATTGGCCGGAAAAAAAACGACGTCATCTCTCAAGATGCTTTTCGAGAAGGATTGTAGCAAGGAAATTAGTAGAGATTCGTTCAATAATAAATGTACAAAATTATAATGACATTCAATCTGAATTTTGAGGGTCGATGATTGTTGAAAGCAATATTTAAGGATGTTTTGTATTTATTTTCAAAATATTGAGAATTTAATAAAAATTGTACAGAATATCTTTACATATGTTTAGAATCTTCAGTACAATTTTTAATTCGATTCACTAAAGCGTTCACGAGTGATAAGGATTTTAATTTGCACCGAATTAACATGTATTCTTATGGGAAACGTATAACCACGTCGATTCAAATGACAAAAACACATGGAAATAATATTCAGAATTTATTTAAAATTTGCAAAAGTATTTTTTAATATTTATTGCGTTTTTACTGAAATATTCCGAATTTTGTTAATTGAAATGATTAACTTTTGGTAGAGAATTTCGTCTTGTGACAGATACATGGCTAACTTCATTGAATTATATTTAATATTTTTTTAACCAATTAGTACTTGTATAATATTATTTGATTAAATATTTCCTCTGTGTCTAAACTTTTGCAAATTTTAAACAAATTCTGAATATTATTTCCATGTGTTTTTGTCATTTGAATCGACGTGATTATACGTTTCCCATAAGAATACATGTTAATTCGGTGCAAATTAAAATTCTTATAACTTGTGAACGCTTTAGTAAATCGATTTAAAAATTGTACACAGAAAAAAAATAAATGTCAAATCAAAACTTATATACTTAAATTAACGCGTTCATTGTTTCATATATATACGCAACAATTTATAATCTTCTTAGAAGAATTTAATAATTTTAAATTTCAACAATATTAGTCTTATTTTAATATTATAATTGTCTTTTCAAGAATATATAATTATTTAATTCTACTTTAAGAAAATTATAATCTTTGATTATAATCTTTGAAAAGAAACAATGTTAGATAGAAAATGTTATTTTCTATCTAATATTGTTTCTTTTCCATTCAAGAAAATTAAATCTTAAATCGTAAGAATATATTTTTCTTGATGGAACTATATAAAATGGCTTCATTCAATTCAAGCCATTATATTTTTCTTTAATTAACTCAATATAATCTCATTTCAAGATTTCCATGTTAAAACTAAATATATTTTCGAAACAAGAATGTCCTTTTTTCTCTGTATTGAAGATCCTAAACATATGTAAGGACACTGTACAATTTTCATTAAATTCTCAATATTTTGAAAGTAGGTAGAAAACATCCTTAATTTTAGGAATTATGTAAGATAAAAAAAAATTCAAATAAAAAATACAGCAAGTCGAGTCAACAGGTCCTTTCGAGAAATTAAATTAATTGTTATTCTGATTTGTTGATGCAAAATAGTTATTACGTTGCAAGATAAAGATATAACGGGAAGGAGGAAGGGTAACGAGCGACACGTGGGCAGATGAGCGCGCGCGCGAAAGAGAGTAAATTATTAAGGGGGCAGCGCTCGTGAGATGAGCGCCTAGACATGTTAATACGTCTCATAATGCGGGCCCTTTGTCGCGGCGCCTACCAACAATGCGTTCGTTATTGCGGTACCGGTGTATTGTTGCCGCCGCATTTGCGCCGGCGATGCCTTCTTCTTCCACTATGCCATTAGCGAGCTATTGTTTCACGCTTGCAGTTTGTGCAAGGGCAGGGGAGAGAGAAAGAAGGGCTTTTCAATGCCTCAGACCGGCGGCCAGGGCCATTTTTTTTACCCGGATCGACTCCTTGACCTTCCTCCTTTTGACAGTTGCAGCGTCTCTTTCTTTTCTTGAGAATGTATATCTGTAAACGCAATAGACATTGCACGCACTGTTTCGCTTCTGGAGGCCCCCTGGGGCCCTCAATTATGTCGACGTCAAAGGCCCTAGAGGATTTTCTAAAGTTGAAATCTGAGACTCTTTAGAGCCCTTCGTTCATTCTTCTCCTAAATAAACTCCACTTGTTCCCCGTGATTAATTATATCACGACAGTTTCTCGTGGAAAATTGCGACGATCTTGAATTGCCGAGAGGAGAAACTGTGTAAAAAGGGGGAAAAAATCCCGTCCTCGTCAGACTTTCGCGTACTTAACGTCGAATAAAATATCTCTCGCGGGGATTTAATGATTTCGTTCCACATCCATGTACGTGTGTATCTTGGTGACATAAATCTCACTTCACGTTATAACGTCTTGCCATGGGAGGTGAGATCCGCATAGATGTAAATCAGTGCGGCTATAGGCGAAGTGAAAAATTACGCGGGCCATTAATCACCGTCCGGCGTGAATATTATTCCCGCATTAGCTTTTGAAATTGAAGAAAGACCTGGAATTACTCGCCGCGTCAAGGACGTTAATGACTGTTGAACACGAGGTATTAGTATTTTCCCTGTGTATACACTGTGTGGAGCTTAGTGCCTCGCGATACGCTCCCTTGGCAACTCCGAATGACTTCGTTTAACTTGTTACTAGACGTCGTACATATTCGTGAAGAGTACGAAACGAAGCGAACTAGTTGAAATGAAACACGCCCCGGAACGATTTTGCAACAAGCATGCTTATAATCTAGGAAATTTTACTCTTTAATTGCTAAGATTTGTGTCTCGTTAAATTTCAATTATTATATTATTATTCGCGATGAAAGAGAGAAATCACAGAATCGTTTAAAGCTTTGCATTCTGAAAATTTATTTAGTTTGCTACGCATAAAAATTGTGGGATTATTGTTTATTAATTGTCAATTTATTATTTAGAATTGTCAATTTAATCGATGAGTTTAAAATAATTATTATTATATTATATATTTTTTTTATATTAATAATCATTTTTTAAAATTATGATTTCAGCAATTTTGCATTAAATATACTTATAATCTAGGAAATTTTACTCTTTAATTGCTAAGATTTGTGTCTCGTTAAATTTCAATTATTATATTATTATTCGCGATGAAAGAGAGAAATCCCAGAATCGTTTAAAGCTTTGCATTCTAAAAATTTATTTAGTTTGCTACGCATAAAAATTGTGTGATTATTGTTTATTAATTGTCAATTTATTATTTAGAATTGTCAATTTAATCGATGAGTTTAAAATAATTATTATTATATCATATATTTTTTTAATATTAATATTAATAATCATTTTTTTAAATCATGATTTCACGTTGAAAAGGAATTATAATATTCTATATAAAATTATGTCTATATAATTATATATCTATATGAATTATTTATATCAAAATCTATATAATAATTATATATAAATTTTGTTTATAATCTATGTGAATTATTAATACAATACAATTATAAAAAATATAATAGATAACATAAAGATCTAATAGAAAATATATAATTTTATATAATAGAAAAATATATATTATATAAAATATATAAAACATGATTATAAACAGAAGACGAAATTTTACGTAATCATGGTTTATTATTTAAAACGCGATTAGAGCGGAATTTTTCGATTCGTTAATAGATCGCTGTTACATATACCCGCAATTTGCAAGTTTAATAAGTGAGCTCCATTATAACTGTAAATTTATATGCCTCCTATAACGCTATTGGTACGCAACCGAGCGAGATACCCGCACGTTTCTCTTTCGCAGCGACTAAGAATTTAAAATAATAAAAATACGGAATATAAAATTTTTTTCTTGTCGACTTGCCGACAAGATATGCGGGATCCAGAATTGCATCCCATAAATGTCGCATGTGCTGCAGATCTCTTTTATTTCATTTTATATATCGTAAGAATAACATGACGATCGTACAAAGCAGCGACAGTTCTCTCATTTTCCATGTCGATTATCTCTGGCGGGGAAGTGCGTCATCGATGCTGTCGCTTCTTTGAAAAATTATGAATGCTCGGGATCCTTCCTTTTATTAGAGATACGAGAGAGAAGAATCGAAGAATTTTAATAAATTAATATTTCCATATTTTTTCCTCGACTTTTTATATTAGCTTAAAATGTTACAAGGTACACTTTTTTTTAATAAAAAGTGACGCTATTAGGAAATAGTGTAGATAATCGTAAAGCGATACAATGAGTAATATACAATGAAAAAGTTAATCATGCGCGGTTAATCGCGAAAAGATTGAACCACGGCACTCCCATTTCTATTGTATCACCCTAAATAGGTTAAAGGGAGATTGGAACGTTTTATCTCATGACAGTAAATGAGTAAATGCAAACTAGTCCGACGTATTCTATAACCGTGTATCCGTAACGTGTATAATCCTCCGAAATCCGGAATTTTTTTACGTCACATCAAAATTTTTTTCCCTTTTTATCGACAATATCTATGTAGTCTGACAGTTCTGGATTTTGCGCGAATTTTCAAGCCGTTCGCGTGATTTCCCAAATTTATCACCTGCTAAAATTTTACTTTGTATTATTTGGAACGATCACGTCGCGTAAATCAACCGTTGAAGTTTCGGGAAAGAAAGCAATTTTATATT